CGTCTTTTCCCCTAATTTATTCCCGGCATTTGACCATTTTGGGGTTCTGTCATTGTAAAAAACAAATTGACGTCAGTTTTTTATGCGCCTGTCCTCTTACTGATGATAAACTGCGTCATAACATTGTCAATTTTTACTGCGGAACCATTCGCCCGCGGCTCGTGGTTCCACAGCCACTTTGACAATGTTATGAAGCAATTTATCATCAATAAGAGGACAGACGCATAACATTGTCAAAGTGGCTGTGGAGCCACGAGCCGCAGGCGAGTGGTTCCGCAGTAAACTTTGACAATGTTATAACGCAATTTATCATCAATAGAGGACAGGCGCATAAAAAAAAACTGACGTTAATTTGTTAAACTGACAGATTTAAATTATGATACTTTTAGGAAAATATTTTACTTAAATGAAATTCTGCTTTTGGCAAATTTTCCTTACCATCGCATAGAAAAAGACGTGCTTGTAATCCTTTGGATAACACAATATCTTGCACGCACTTGAATCCCAGACGGTTTGCTTTTCAAAATGATGAGTAGTCAGTTTGGCATTGTCAGTCTGTGTGTTCCTCCCATTTTAACAGCTCCAGCAGAGCACAGACACCAGGTGGTTTTCTTAGGACCCCAGCTCCAGGTCCTAGTCTTGTTACCTCAAACAGTACCTCCCGCAAGACCCCAAGTTCACGTCGTACTCCACACATTTCAAGCGTCACCCCAGGAATGGCACCCTCTTCTGTCGTGGTTGGTAAGCTATAAGAACATGTCTAAAGCAAGCTTTGTTATTTGCTTCTTTTTTTACCCAAAGTTTTGAAGAGCTTGTTTAGTAAATTCATAATCATTGAATAATAACTTTATCACAGCAAATTTATCAGGACTTATAAAACAAGACATTTATTCTTTGTAAGGGCCCTTTCCAGAGTTCTCTCGAACGCAAAATTGTCTTTTAGTCATTGCACTTTGTTTAGTAAAGTGTCCTTGAAAACTGAACATTAACAAAATATATAACTTTCTAATGTTTTAACAAAATGTCACCTGTGCCTGACGTAGAAAATACGCCGGATGTAATTTTGTCAGTTTTGATGACTGACTGACAACTGATCATGAGAATGGCCAAGCTAGGCTCCTCTTGTGCCGTAGCTTTTTGTTGTATCAAATAGAACACGCATATATTAAATATACTTAACATGGTGTGTTTCTTTTCTCTAAGATGTATTTTTTAAGACTACTGAATTTTTAAAGGTGTAAACTATTTTTAGGTTTGTTCTTTTAAACCTGTAAAACAATTTAATCTTCTATCCAAGCAATCGTTGAAGGGCGTGGTCTTGCAAAAGGAGAGATTGGCATGGCCAGCATCGATCTGAAGAAACCAGAACTAATTCTATCACAGGTAGGTAATTAAAAGCATTGAACACCATCAGTCATTAATTAACTGGGTCATCAGTTAATTTTCTTGGTTAAATTAATGTTTATTTTGTAGCTAAAAGTTAAGAAAGCCCTGTTCCTAGCTTGTTGCTTCACCTCGAAGGCGAGTGCGGATCTCAGTTCAAAGTTCAATTCATTCGAATTCGTTGCAATATTCTTTATCTACACATTCAGACTCGCCTTAACTTAGTACGGAAACATGATCAAGTAATTGTTCGTCACTCGATATTAGATAATTTGTAAGCTATTATTTAATAACAATTAATTTGTCGGAGGTTTAGAGATTAGATAACTACAATAAGCGGATCAGGAGTGACAGCTCTTCTCTTAAACCATTTATTGTACAATTTGAAGTTTTCAGATAACCAGACTTACGTCAAAGTTCTTACAAGATTGCAGATTTTGGAACCTTTGGAAGTATGTATTACCTTTTTTATTCATGCATAGTATCACTATACACATACGTCTTACAATTGACGTAATGGAGCCAGTTAATTGCAAAATGAACTTTTAAATGTACATCGCAAGTTATCCGGCAAGATTTTAAAATGAATTAGATATTTGATAACATATTTCAGCTTAAGGTTACTCTTTCTTTCACAACGTTTTTACTAGTGACTTGGAAACGTAAAGGCAAAACATGGAAACAGCAACTGATTTGAATTATTTGTTACTGTGATACCGTTTGTTAGTTTCTACACATTTTGAAAGAAGCTTGTTCCAAGCATATCAAACTAGAGATACATTTTCAAATCGTCCGTGATTGGGCAAACTATATTCGAGCCCTCAGTTGTAATCGACAAAGATATCCCATAAAAATAGCAGACATCTGAACGTGTTTAATGATGAAATAATGAACAAGTCGACCTTGTGTATTAGTATGCGTGCATTACGCTGTCTTGTTTTGCTTCCTGATTTCACCTCGTGTAACTTTCGTTTTTATTGTTGTTGCTCGTTTGTTTGTTTGTATGTTTGTTTGTTGCTTGTTTTAAGTTAATTTGCTGGGTTATTTTCTTGTTCACCAGATTATCATGCCTAATACAGCGTGTGAAAACCCCTCCACACTGTTCAAGTTCCTTAGCGACCAGCTCCCCTACGCAAACTTGTCATCTGTCCAAAGAAAATATTTCAACGAAGCTAAAGGTAGCACTCAATTTCTTTGGCATTTCTAAATTCATTCCTAATTCAAAAAGTCTATTTGATCAGTTTAAAAAAATGAGCGAACTATTCTGGTGTTTGCATGTAACACCGTAGTGTAATAAGTTCTCTTTAACTAGCGAACTTGCTTGCTTAGCTGAATTGGTTGAAAACAGCTAGTCATGTATAAGCGATGATGTTGATTTGGCAAATCAGATGTAAGACGGAAACTAATTCGCCAATACCTGGATACCCGCGTTCACCACTGGCTATATGTTTTTACTTCATGTTCTTGTTGTTGTGCGAAACAAGCCCTATAATTATACCTTTTCTGTAAAATGAATAATGGAAAACGCAACCAGGTCAATCTGTTTCTTAAGGCTTTTAGTTATGCTTCATTGTTTGCCTTTCATTCATCAATGTGCCAACTGACGATCTCGTTCCAGGCCTAGAGTACGTCAAACAGTTGTGTGTTCCTGAGTACAACACTGTAGAAATGGAGGTGGCTTCAAAGTAAGTTAATCTGAAAGATAACTTCTAATACACGAGCACATTAAGTTTCGTAGGACCATTTCTTTGAAATTTTAGGTTAAAACTTAATCCACGAACCTTCGAACGAGTCTTGAAAGTCACAACCTTTATCGAAGATGCATACGTCACACGCCAAGCTATGACCCCTTTTTTCTATTTCAGATATTACTGTCTGGCAACGGCTGCTGTAAGTTGTCGATTTTGTTTTTACAAGTCTGTTTTACTCTAATTGTTAGAGCGGTCGACGTCATTTATCCAACTTAATGTTTTCTTTTTAGCAAAAGGATGCGTTATACGATGTATATAGACTATGTCAACTAAGAGAAAACTCAAAGTTGAAGAAGCTGATTAATAGCTCTCTTAACAGTCTTATTGGTGATCAACTAACTGAACGCACAAGATTGTAATGAGTAGCATCAGTACAGTGAACAAAACGATAGTATATAGATGTAAGTTTTACATTTGACATTAAGTCTGCAAAACAGTTTCTTTGATCATAAGATAAGAGGTAACGTTATTGACTTTTACAGGCCTTGCTTAAATATGTGGAGTTTATACAAAACATAGTTTATGCTCCTGGTTCCGTCAAAGTCGTTTTCAAAGGAAGCGAAAAGACTACAATTGTAGGTAAGTTACCTTTGCCTGCTGCATAATTTATTCAGGGAGCTGCAACTTGTGAGCCTAAAGTCAAAAAATTCCTCGCTCAGTGTTCTCTAACAAAACTGCACATGGCAAAACTTTGATGTTGCAGTTACTATTCTTAAATGAGTTGTGTGTCTCCTTTGTACAGATGCCTCTACTACTAAGAACTTGGAGCTAATTCAGAATGCCAGGGATCCTGAAAGCGGTCACTGTTTTTACGGAGTTCTGAATCACACTAGGACAGCTGGTGGAGGTACTGGTAACTCACTGTCACTGAAATTGGTGCTTCTTTAGTTCTTTTTAATGCGCCTTATCTTGATTGCAAGAATTGCTTTGTTTCGACAGCCCGTCTGATAAGGTCCAATGTTCTTCAGCCTCCATGTGGTAAGTATGTTAATTTCAGCCTCAGTGCATTTCCAAGAACATTCAATCATGATGAACCCAACTTTCGATAGCTTTATTTGAAAATGTGACTGCTTCTGTTGTCGTATTTCTTGAAACATTCTTATCTGTCAGTAGTCCAAGAGAGAATATGAATCCAAGAGAAGTAAAACGTATTTCTCTGGAGAGGGAGTGCTAGCATGTGCATGGTATTAGAAGGAGCTGATCAAGATGACCGGTTAGCATGCATGCTGTTCTCTGATCAAGATGAAGGCATCAACCAGGAAAGCTTGGTTGAGAAGGCATCAGTGGCCCCCTCACAGGTGATGCTTAATTTCATTATTCTTGCAGATGCAGAGACTACAAATGTTCGTTTGGACTGTGTGGCAGGTATGTGTCATTGTAGAAAAAGAGGCATTAAATACATTATACTGGTAAAAAAAAAAATGAACTGAAAATATGCAGGCTTTTACTTTGATTTCGACGTAATGACTTAATGTGTAGTTCTGTGTATTTGTTGTTTTGAAATCATTACTAAGAAAAGTTTCATTCTGCCTTTACAGAATTGACAGACAAAGAGGTACGAAATTTCCATGTTTTAGTTGCAGTGGTAACAACCGTTATGCGTTTTTGCTGATCTTCTCATTTGCTGTGCCTACGACATGCACTGTTACAGTCCAAGATTACTATTAACACTTTTTAACGTCGTTTTGTTATCTAGGAGCTCTTCTACGGATTACAGTCCGGTAAGTGATGTATCTGGTTTTGCCCGCTTAAGCGTCAGTCAGGAGCAAACGGTGGATTACATGCATGTTTCAAAGCTTTGTGCAGCGACAAAATAACCCTAAATATCAACCCAGAGTAACAGACCGACCAGTAATCCCTTGACTATTTATTCTCCAGGCTTTACTTGTATCTATATGTTGTGTGTCAGTTTATTTTCCCAATTAACGGAGCTGTATTATTAATTTTCACTTGCTTAATTATTTGTTTTGTTTTGCTCCTGTATTTTACTTGGCATCCCATCGTTCAAATTAATTTAACTGAAGGTGTCTTTTCTAATTTGGCAGTGGTAGGTCGGTTCTTGGATATTGACCACTTAACCTCAATGTGCGTTCAACTTCCTAAACAAGAAACAGTAAAAACTGCGGAGTCCAAGATCACTACTGTTATCTATCTGAAGCATACTCTGGAGCTTGTCGAGCCTCTCAGATTGGCCCTCAAGGACGCAGAAGCCGAACTTTTCAAAGCCTATTACGAGGTACTTGAAGATTAACTTCCACTGGTTTAAAAAAGCCATGGAATTCTCCGCTTTGTATTTTAGATCGTAGTGCAAAAATAGGCTTGTATTTTACATCAGTTTATTTTATATCTCGCAGTCTCTTAATGACAGCAGATTTGCAACCATTATGGAGAGGATTCAGACTGTTATACATGATGATACTCGGTATCAGAAAGGAACGCTCAACATGAGGACTCAGAAATGCTTCGCTGTCAAGGTACAAGAGCTATACCGAACTGTTTCAGTTTTTTAACTTGATAGTTCAGCTTTCGTTTGTTTTGTACAAAACGAATCCGTGCCACATGATGGGGTGAAAGACAGTAGTAGGCTTGTAACACAAGGTAAGCAGTTACAATTTTTTACGCAACCATCGTGCATCTCTCGTTAGATAAGATAAGATAAGATAATTTATTTCATGTCAGATTACACAGGGGGTGGTCTCCTACTCCCCCGAGCCAGAGGCTCATGATAAAAGTGTTTGATGTATCTACTTGGTAAGTTCAAGCTCATGCACTTATCAATACTAATTGTGACCTCTATTTTTACTTCCAATCATCTTTTAAACCATGAAAACTGGATGAAAGCCTCACATAAATGGTAAGACCATGCTCTCTTTTTTTTCCTTCTCGGTCTCAGGTAGATGAATATAGGGGCGTAAGCCTCTTTAATAAGCACCGCTTGTTGTTTAAGGGTGCGGCACACATTCAATTCAAGGGCAGCGCTTATTAATATTTGTACCCTCGTGTGTGGCGCTAATTCTTCTTTTCAGTAAATACTGACTTGATGTGATCGGCCAAATTTTCTCTTAATAAGTAAGCCATGGTTTTACATTGAAAGCTTCTCCAATATTAATACATAAGTAATATTTTCAGGCCTTCTTGACGTGGCGCGAAGGACGTATACTGAGATTGTGGATGACATTACTGGTGAGTAGAATGTGATACTCCGCTACCTTTAAAGTAAGTCTGTTTCCAAGCTGGAGGCTTCTTTATAATGTTAACTTTAGAAGACATTTATTTAGTAGTGTTGTATCTGCCTGTACACATGTGTAGTGTAAGTATTCTGAATACCGACCGATTCACACGCCGCATGTTTCCAATGCTAATTAAAATTGCAATCATGTTGCTTCATCGTACGCAACTAAGAGAAGTGTAATTTCCATTTGAATATATTTTCTCTTCTGACATTTGATGAGGCACTGTAGAGTAGCTCGTAAATAAATTAACTACGAACATATAAACTTACAAATACCTTCTTCCGTTTATAATTATGGCATTTCGCTCGCCGCAATTTCAGAAATGATCAAACAGCTCGGGGAGAAGCACAAACTACCCCTCAAAACTGGTTTTAACGGTACTAAAGGATTCTTTGTACAACTCACGCTAAACCGGGATCAGCATATTGACCTCAAAACGCTGCCGAGTGAATTCCTAAAGGCTGTTAAAGTCAGAAGTGCGGTCTGCTTCACCACGGTTGATCTGGTCGGTAAATGTATTTTATTGTTCTTGAATCGAAAGCAGTTACCTTGGTAGCGAGCTTATAGTGTCTTTGTTTGGGTTTATTTTATTCCTGCTTTGCTTTGCTGTTGATATTAAAACCTCTCTGGCCAGTGAGAACTTGAAATGTGTTAAATTATAATTGATATGAACTAGAGAAATCTTTTTTTGTTCTGCAGTAATTGAAAATTTCATAAAACAATTGCACTATTTTTGGGTTCCGTTTCTAATAAAACTTTTGCATTTCTTTCTTTACCTTTCCCTTCATCAATGCCTTTAGATAAAGCTTAACGGTAAGTAGAACTAGTTAATGAACAAATAAGAGATAGTGTGTTTGTTTCCTTATTACCAATCACTCTGAGGGATAAATTGCTTAAAGCGAGTCTCAAGTTCCTTTGCTTCTCCTTTTTTCAGATAGGATAAAGGAGTCTTTGAACGAAATCTACCTCATGACAAACGTGTAAGTTAAACATAAAAATATTTCGTTTCAAACTAGCGACCTCAAGCTCCCTTGGAATATAGGGGAGAAATAGACGATCTACATCAATAGTAAATATGCTGTCACCTTGCTAAAAGCTTTTTCATTTTTGAAACACTTGCAGGGTGGTATCTGAACTTTTGAGTGAAATCCGCGAACACATGGGATGCCTATACAAACTTGCTGAACTTGTCAGTGTGTTGGACATGCTGGTTTCCTTTGCCCACCTGTGCACTTTGTCCGACTATGGTGAATTCATAAGCAAAATACAAGTATTTTGCACGGGTCTTTCCAATGTGCTTCCTAATGCTTTAAAAATTAACACTGAAACATGTAGTGATAGTCTTTGATCAGTATTGAAGAGTCAGTTCTTAGTTCAGTCTCTGGGATACTGTTCATTTTCAATTTAATTTTCGTTTCGTAGAGTCGCCACATGTGGACGCGATCCAGTGTTATCTGTTTTATTATATATTTTTTTGTTATTCGTTGCGTGATGTGTTATCACTTCTCCCCAACTGCATATTTATTTCATTCTTCATCAGTGCGACCAGAATTCACTGACACCTTTGCGATTAAAAACGGACGTCATCCCATCCTGGATAAAATTCTTCCGGAGCCACCAACGCCAAACAACACGGTTGGTATTGCAATAAAATTTAAAAACAAATTTTAAAAAAAATCTGTGGTGCATAGAACGTGCAGTTGAGAAATTTCGGCATAACGAACGAATGATTCAGGAAAAAAAAATTTAATTTCTTCCAAGTTCCGACTGTAATCTAGGCCTGATACTCACCAAAAGGAACATGCAGCGTTTTTTTCCTCGAGAAATGGTCAAGAAGGATTTTAATTGAGAGAACAGGGGCGTCATTTATTTCCAAACTGAGGAACAGTAAGACATGGTTGGTAATTATATAGTTAGTTTCCTCCGCGTCATGAGGCGCATAAGGCTGCAATTCTCGCCCTCCTTTCTCTGGCTTCGGCCCAGCTGCCCCACCCCTCTTAACTGCGTTCCTTTTACACTGTACCTCTCCACGTGGTATTCCTTCGTCCCACTTTCCTTTTTCCTTTAGGCGCGACCGGCTGCAGTTGTTTTTGACATTGGATTCATCGCCATCATGCAATCATCGTTCCTCTCCAATCTGACCACATGTCCGGCGATTCAGTCCAGTTCCATCAGTCTGGCTGACAATTAATATGCAAAAATCAATTCCCCCAAGGAAGGCTTTAAGTTTTTTAGTTGTTAGTGCTTTCTCTGGTATTTAAGTATTCTATAAAGTCAGATATATTTTTTTTAACTTTCAGTATGCAACTGATGGATCAAATCTCCTACTCATAACAGGTCCCAACATGGTAAGTACATGTAGAAATTGATTGAACGTTTAGCTTTATCCTCAGACTTCCTTGCATACTTTTACCGGGATGTTTTATTTGCTTGTAGAGTGGCAAATCCACATATTTGAAACAAATAGCGTTGCTTCAGATTATGGCGCAGGTTGGGTGTTATGTACCAGCGGAATACGCTTCATTCAGAGCTGCAGATCAGATACTTTCAAGAATCGGAAGCGACGACGACATCGAAACCAATTCCTCTACTTTTACGCTTGAGGTAAGTTCATTATCTCATACTAACTGCCGAGAAGCTCTTTTTGCTCAGTTCTCTTTGAGTTCTTTCCGTTAAAAAACCTCAGGAATGCAACAAGCAAAATCGCTTCTACATTTTTTTTTCTGGTATTAAAATGATAATATAATATTTAACTGGACAGAAAAGATAACCGTAGGGATGTTTTGTTTGTAGATGAGAGAAATACATTACATTATTCAGGTGCGTTTGATTTGTTCAGTTTGAACTCGTTTTCGCATTTTTATTCCGTCCTTCGCCTCTAACTTGACAAACAAGTTTTGTTTATTTTTGTTCGTAGAACGCAAGTGACAAATCCTTAATCATCATTGACGAGCTAGGGAGAGGTAAATGCTTCGTAAAGCTTCTGCGTTTCAATGCACTTGCCATTTCTAAAAATATCATAAACCTGCATATAGAAGCCATCATGAACGATTTGATAGGTATCATTTCCAGACCTTGCACTGTAACAGCACACCCACCGGCACAACAACAACCACTATTTGCCTTATTCATATTGACCCTTATTGTACAACGATACATTATACTGACACACTAGACAAAACAAAGAACAAGATTGTCTTAGATTATCTAACGATATTCATGGTCCTCGTTTGAATTTTGTTCTCCAGGAACCAGTAGCGAGGAAGGAGTAGGAATTTGTTTTGCCATTGCTGAGGATCTTCTAAAAAAGAAGGTAGGGCTTGACTAGGGGGCCATTTGACGGAGATGGCCTCGTAGACAAGTAGCCTGGAATTTATTCATCTTAGAGAACCACAGAAATATCTTAAAACTGTTCGTAAATAATCACTGTAGGTTTCAAAACTGGAAGAATACATGCATTTGATGCTAACATCATGGTTAAGTCTAGCATGGTCAAGTACCAGGGTCGTATAGACTAATTAATTGTCTTAGTGTTGACCTATAGCTCATAAATGGATCTCAAAATAAAGTCCCTAGTGTGTAAAATTCACGTATCCAGAAAAAAATTAACTTTTGACTTATTAGAATTAACTACATGATATCCTACGTTTCGATATAAGACAAGACTGTGCTTTAAAATAGTGAGGTATTTTCTTTACCTTACCCTTTATATTTTTTTTATTTTCTTCCTCAGACATTTACATTCCTTGCAACCCACTTCCTTGAGTTGACTACAATTGATACCTTGTACCCAAATGTTGAAAAGTGAGTTAAGATATATAGCTTGACTGATTGACTGACAGACTGACTGACTGACTGTCTAACTGACAGACCGACCGACTGAATGACTGATTGTCTGATTGATTGATTGATTGATTGATTGATTGATTGATTGATTGATTGATTGATTGACTGATTACTAGTAGTATTTTCTAATTGTATCTACCAAAATGCTTTGTTTCATTTGCAGTCTGCATATGAAGATTCAGGTAAGTGTTTCTCCATCTCATGAGCAACCACAGGGTTCGTACGGGTCCTGGAAAACCTGGAAAGTCCTGGAATTTTACTGTGGCATTTTCCAGGACTGGAAAGTCCTGGAAAAGGGCTACTGGTCCTGGAAAGTGCTAGAAATCTGTTAAACTCAAGTAAAAAATGTGAAATGTATGGCAGACAGCGAGGAGAATTAATTTTGAGATCTTGGGAGTGAGAGGGTTACCGTGAATTTTAGAGACCTGGAAAATCAATCTGAGACCTGGAAAAGTCCTGGAAAAGTCCTGGAAAAGTCCTGGAAATTTGTTTCTGAAAAAGGGTACGAACCGTGCAACCAGAATTACAGATCACGTCAAAGCTAGCAAAACGGAGAGGGAAAAATATACCTACCTGGCTGGATTTTTTTAAAATCTCACAGGAGCCACAAAGCCCTCTGAAATCTTACACTGGATGTTAGCGAAATGGGTTTGATAACTGCTTATTTTCAACGAGCTTTTGCAGCTTGTTTGAAATTTTCAATCGTATTGAAACTCCCATTGTATGTAGGGTATTTTCACGAAAAGCAAGAGATGAATGTTGAGCCACTGTACTGTGCTACGACAGAAAGAACGAGCAAACTCTTGATCATTTGTTACTAAAGATGGCCAGAATGAATAGTCCATAGTAAGCTATACAAATATAACGGTTCGCGAGAAGCCAGCAAGGCATAAAACAGTGAGTCAGTGTATGCTTTATTTGATCGGGTGGAAAACGTCTGTATCTGGTCAAAGGATCCAACACCCCAGGAGTTAATCGTTTTTCTCGGTGTCTGTAGCATTAAATGATAGGGAGTACAACTCTGTACCCCTGGGTACAAGTCTTTCGTAGGGTTAACCCCTAGCATTAAATTTGCTGGTACTCGTTAATGTACCTAAGTGACGAGAGGCCTGCCCAAAAACACAGCCCAATAGTTGGAAAGTTTAGTTACTAGTTAGTTAGCAGAAAGGTAAGTAACAAGTTGGTTAGTAGCCAACACTGAACAAGTATTTACAAAAAGAATTAAAACGTTTAAACATACTTAAAAGTTATGGAACTAGGGTTTTATTTTTTTTGTTGTTTTGCTTTGGTTCTTTTTTTTTTTTTTCATCTTTGGCAGAAAACGTTCAGTAACGAAGCTGCATGTGAGAAGATCACCTATACTCATGTGCTATCAAAAGGAAGAACTGAAGAAAAACATTATGGTAAATATCGTACACAAAAAGGGAAAACAAAAAAAAAATAGTTTACCCAATTACCCTAGATGAGGGATTTAGCAAAAGTGTTCATGAACCGGAGCATTCAAGCATTAGACACAAAACTTAAACATGATCAGGAGGGAGACCACGGCCCGGTTGTTCAAGGGAGGGTTAAATTAGTCTTGGCCTTGGGTTAGATTTAATCTGGAGGAGAAATTTCTCAGCAGCCGTAGGTTTGTAAACCGTCTACCGTGGAGTAACTCCAGCTTGAAGTCAACTCCGGCGTCCTAACCACTCGAGCAGCGTCTATTGTATCATCGTGATACAACGGATACCAAGTGACCTATATATCTGTGTTCAATGTACAGTGCAACACCAATACTTGTGTTTTGCGCGTGATTTTTATTAGTCTAAATGTAGGTGTTTCAGTTGAAAAAACCGTTTTACCCAACCTCACTAGGATCAGTTATTTTTTTCCCTCACACTCCACTCTAGGTTCTGAAACGCCATTTTTCCCCCTTCTCGTTGTACGACTTGTACTTCTTCCTCTTTCTCACTAAGTGACCTGGCTGTACTTAAACTTAAAGTTAAGAAACAGCAATCCTTGAGATAACCATAACTTTTAGGGTGCATAATCGGCTATAGGTACGGATTGATAAAATTTAAATTTACTTGTTGGAGGATGAAATTCATTTCGTCCACTGTGATACACTGTAGGTGTTCAGCTCGCTGAATTCTCAACGCTGCCACAGTCGATAGTGAGGGACGCTCGAGAAATTTCAACCGAGTTAACAAGACAGAAAGAGGTAAAGGGAAACTTTCTTGCATGGTGACTTTGTTTTATTTTTTACTTGAGGTGTACTCAGTTTGGAGAGAGAACAGTTCATTACGTGATCTTTTTGTTTGGGGATCATAGAGGTATTCATAACAATTCAAGTTCAGTTCATGTCATCGCCTGACAGTACTTAGACTACTTACTATAGTTTCGTTGAGTTTATCTTGTAATGGTATGCGCGGATCAGGAACAACATGGCTCTTCGTTGTCAGTAAGTAGCTTAACGTTATTTTTTATGTCTCTCTAGACTAGTCAGCTGTTGTCAGCAGAAAGCCGCCAACATATAGCAGTGTTCCGTTTGGCAACTAAGCTCCTCCAAGCTGGACGTAACTCACGCCTTGACAAAGCTGGACTGCGTGCTTATCTCTTGGGTCTTAAAAACCAGTTTGAACGAGAGTCTGCACCTGAAGTTGAAGAATAGAAATGCCAAGGCCGAGTTATAATATAATTCATGAAAATGGAGCCGATCAAAAGTGTTATATTAACACAGAGCTCCAAATATGTCTCCGATGATACAATCCAAGGCGACTCCCTTTATGCTGACTTCACATGATTAGTTTTAAAATTCAAAATGTACCTATAGAACGAGTCTGGGGAGACGAAGGCCGGAAAATGTTTGCCGTAACTGGAGGTCATTGCTAAGCTCACTCGGTGGGCCTTGGCTTGGGTCCAAAATCAATTCCTCTCTCCAAGTCATCGTCAATTACTATATTTAACTGTTTATAAATATGTTTCAGACTTTACGTCAGTATTTGATTATGGTTTATCAAATCCAGGTTCTTTCTTTATGACATTGTAAATTAATGAGCAATCATGATATATGGCGGTCTTAGAGTTGCCATTAAAGGCCCAGTTACCCCCATTGCTTTATGGCCGTTTGTCGTTGATTTGAAATGACGAGTTACAAGGATTCGAAGCGCATCATAGCAGGGTCTCGTCCACTCGAAATGTAACTTCTGTTGAATGATTCGAGCTATTCGAAATTTCATGGAAAGATTTCAACAGGAGGTCGCCAACACACACGTGTAAACCTTTAAGGCTCTCCGTTTCACTCAAACGATCATGATGACGCTCTAAGAGAATTGGAGATAACTGCCGCGGTAAGATCTTTTAAATAGCTCAGCTGAATATATGCACGACTCTGGTTATAATCTATATTTAACCAAAGGACCTAGAGTGTCCCATTATACTTCAGGAACCACAAAATGAAAGGACGGTTAAGTTGAACGTGCATGGAAGCAAAGAAGAGGAGCGTGTCCTCGCAAAACAGCCAACCTCGACTGTGCTGACTCTTCTACTGAAGTATTGAGTCCAAAGGCGTGAACCGGGTAAATACTGATGAATAATTGATCTGTCGCGTTAGTGGTCTTCTTCTTCTCGCCTGCATTTGCTTATAGATGTAATTCCATTTAAACCTAGATTTTTATGGCAGCAGTAGCCAAGAAACCATTTGTTATGTTGCCGGATCGCTACATGGCTGAAGTAATGCGGTCCTTCACCCTAAGCCAGGTACATTTCCTTTACATATCCATCCGTGAAACTGATACTTAGAAATGTAATAGTGGATTGTTGACTATTCGTCTATGCGATTGGTTTATTATAATTAATTTTAGATCAAAGGACTAAATTTGAGACACTATTTCATATTAAACTGGCCACAAAATGTAACAGTCTCTCTAGGTGTTCCATTGATCTTTTATGCAATCAAACACTATCGTTTCCATGTTCACGAATGTCATCATAACATAGATTTTGAAAACGTTGAAGTCGTCGGACATGAGGCACATTACACCCCTTGGCATGCTCCATTTGTTGCTTGTCCCGGTTCTCAGCTCTGTCTTTCATTGGAATCTGTTCTGCAACTCCTTCATTGTTATATGTGAATTTATGAACTTTGAAGCCTTCCCTTTTAGCCATAGTCTCGATGCTCCTTATAAAGCCTTATGGAGGAAATCCCTCTCATGCAGAGGCAAGCTTTTCTTTATTAGCTGAATAGATATGTCATTGTCGTCTTACCAGAAGAAACTCTGGGCATAGGTAGAGTCTTCTGTCATTTTGTCTTGTTAAAACGTGGCTTTGATATCGCCCTGGAGCCCATGAATCCTGAAATGTCCCTATCGAATCTGCACAGCACTCCGGGTAGATTTTATATTAGTGAGGTTCGGTCTCTGAAAGAGAATGCATCTACAAGGACTTTCCGTCTTTGCAGATTGCAAACAGTTGAAAAATGTTGGAATTTTGTTGCTTCTTTTGGCTCGTTTAGATAAACAAGTCGTAATAGGGGATATACCATACACGTCTATCGCCTTTGGGTTTGGCTTTAAACTCCCAACTTGCTGTTGAACCCGAAAAAATCTCTTAGTCCTGTACTTCTTCTTGAGACGCACCAGAGGCGGTGTAGGCTAGTTGATAGCCTCCCACGCATGACCATTCGCTATCCCATTTATCTGATATGAAATCTACCAAATTTGATGGAATTTTCAATGTATATATTTCTGGATTTATTCCAAACACTACAAGTCTTAATTGAGGACCCTCGAGGGCCTTAAGTGTCCTAGAATAATTTCTTTTAGAGGCTAAAGCATTTATGTGACAACTTAAATATATTGTCAATAATATTCTCAGCACTTAGCACTCAGTTAGCCTTCTACGCAGTCATTCTTTTGACTCAGCACGTAACGAGCGAAAAGGATCGGAAGAATATCTGCGTAAGAGGCTACTTATAGTACTATTCTCTTTCACGCTCTGGGAACACCTAATGTTTTTTTGTTTTTTTTTTTTCTTATTTCCAAGTCAAGAGAGATATCGTGTCTAAGCAATGGTTATTTTACTGAGAACAATCCGTTGCTAGAAGACGTGGAACAACCAATACGAGGCAGTCAACGGTGATATATTTATTGATCCCCATTCCCTTCTCATGGGCTAATATCTTGATCTTCGTCTTAAATAAAATGACTGTCGTCTTAGGCTAAAGAACAGGATTTCCTAAATAAACAAACTTGACGAATACAAAGGGAAGATCACGCTCACCGAGCCAAACAACGTGAAACAAGAAGAATACGCGAGGGTGGATGAATTGCCTAACGTCCCGAACGACCAACGCAACATGATTTGATTATAGCAGGTAGACATTGTTCACAGGTCTTCACAGAGTGTGCATGACAAAGATGTGACCCGCTAGAGGAGATTTTAGAAGAATTTTCGGGGGTAGGATACTATTTCTACTATTTCAAACGGAACTGATGTACAACTGTCGAATATTTTGCCTCGACAGAACAGCTGAATGTTCCGGAATACACATAAATTAAACTTCAAACAATAGTCTATTTTACCTGAATTTTTTCTTTCTATTGTTCATGCGTATTAGCAGTATTAGCATGCAAATATATTCATTCTCTATTTTCCAATTGCCCAAAATTCACTCTGTTTTCCCCCCACATTTTGCATAAACTTTTGTTTTGAAATGCTCATAGGAATATGCAGACCTCCCAAGAACATTTCACAATAGTTTACCGGCAAACTTTGGGGGGCAAACAGAGTGAATTATGGGCAATCGGAAAATGAGAATATTGTACCGCAAGGTCAACTGTGTTTGTTTACGTGATGCTGAAACAGTCACCAAAGCAGCCTTACGTGTTTATTTATTTATTTATTCATTTATTTTTTTATTTTGGATTTTTTGGCTATCAGCTGCGCTATTCTCTCGTATTCTGTAGAAAAAAGCTAGCAAATAGCTTAGTTACATTATCATGAGTTTCTCGCCTCGCCTTACGCTAGTGCCACGATGTAATCACATGGTTTCGTTTTACTTAAGCATGCGAAATTATAAATGATAATTTTTCCCTTCTCGATAGGGGACGACAATTTTTTAATTGTCGTCGAAGAACATTATTTTGACCTTTGACCAATCAATTCAGCAATCGGTCTAACAATAAGTCAAATACACTCCAGCTATGTTACATAATATCGTACCCGCGAAACTGGTCTATAGTGTTATACGATTTTTCGCCTCGATCTTTGAATTAAAAATCTGATGGGTGCACTCGGTTTGGGCAACTATGTTATTTCACAAAGGATTACACCTAAAACAATTATGTGCAAATGTGTAATTTTCTTTTGTGTTATCGGAGAGCTTCAAAGTCCAAATGCACAGGCATGAAACATACGGTTTAGTTATTCATAAAGTCAGTTGACGTGAGACTTCTCCACGCTATCTTGTTGAGCCTCTTTACTTATACATTCAAATCCGCCAGTAGCGTTTAAATTTCAATTTTGTTTTAGTTGGAAACTGTCTTTAAAACTACAGGTCACCGTTTGGAGACCTTGCGCGCGACCAAAATTGATCTCATATGGAAATAGCGTCCAGAAACGTCAGTCACCATTGTTACATTAAAATGTACAAGTAGCGAACTTTTGTCTGGGGAAACAAGAAGCTCTTAACTTGCTGTACATTTAAACAACGAAAAATATGTTTCCAAACAGGTAGACTGCCTATAAACATACCTTGATTAAGATAGGTTGCCTGGACGCCCTCTCGAAAGGGTAAAACTAATAATAAACCACCAATGGGAAAAGGTAGTCTACTTTTTTTTGTGATGTGGAATTCGTTTACGGTGTCAAAGTCTGTATGCAAATTTGATTATATAACTAAGGGTTATTTTGATGCGTCGAGAGAACACCGGTATATCACGTGGATCATCAATTCCATTTTTATAAAGAGTTCACCGCACTACATGTAGCCTAATTAAATGCGAGGTCTTCAGTTCGACATCGCTACGGTTTACAGAATGTTAACTGAGACTCCCTCACTGCTTTCTTCAGTTGTTAACTAATCAGCCAATCATTAGCAGCGACAAGTCTAGCAGAAGTCAAAATGACCGAGATCACCAGAGCAGAGTTAACAGCACTTGACGAAAGCGTGAAAATTTTGAGCGCAAACCTTGATCAGCTGTTTTTATTGGTCATGGGATGCTGTATTTTCTGTGAGTAGGCGTTTTTCATTGAAGTTATATTTTTACTTCGTTGATGTCTAGTCACTCCGGTGAAACGACAGCAAAGTTATTTCTAACATCAGATAGTGTGACTGACAAAACCAGACTTATACGAGGGACATCCTTTCCTCAGTTAACCAGAATGTAGTCCTAGTTAAATGAATACTACAATTTTTACTAATATATCAATACATCTTAACCCATGCATGAGATTTCTGTAAGGCGGTGATGCAATCAAAATCGGAGATGCCGTCCAAAGACGTCCAAATTTCCTTTACTAATCAGCTTTGATTGCGTATACGTAAGCTACATTGTTTTACATATCGACAGAAAGAAAAATATATAGCAAATTTTTCCTTCCTCCTCAAGTCCACAGCTCTCATGTACATCCTAGCCAATTCGGTAGTATACATCTTCACAATATCAGTAGAGAAAAAAACTGAAACTGACTATATAAGTTTTAGTCAAGGGGGAAAAATTTTTCTCGTACGTTAAGGATTTATAACAATATAAAATATTTCTTTTTAAGGTTGCTTAAATTTATGATAAAATATACGTCAATAGCGTCTTAAATAGGACCAAAAATTCTATTAAACGGCGAGACAACTCAGCAAAAAATATCCGCGATTTAGTATTGTTTTCTTGGTGTAGCTAAGAACGGGAGAACCAGACAAGCTGTTTGTGCGAACAGGCATTTTACAGTTGAAAGATCCCAGAGAATGTTATTGGTAGGGATATACACCGGAGTGCATCCTGACAAGACTTATATTCTTAACTCAGTAAGGAAACTAAAGGACGGAAGAAATTAAAATACAGACACTAAGAACAAACGAGGGACCGGAATGGTGATGTCGGTCCCTTATCAACTATCACAATGCTGACGAAATACCCTCGGCAAACTTGATTTTCAACACCTGAAAATTTTCTGCTTCGTGCGTTGATTAAATTAAAGTTTGTTTCATAGCAACCCAAGGCAGGTCGTGCTGGTGGTTGGTGTGTGCCTGTGTACCGCACACAAGAAACTCATATCATCAAAGACCAAACATCCGACCCTTGAGCTCACTAACAGAAAAAAAACAGCTAAATAACGAAAATAACAATATTTATTACCATTTTTACCGATACACGAGGACAGAACCATAGATCGATTTCCAATACGTTAGCTCATATAGCCTCCGCCTTGGTCGGTTGACTTTCGCTACACTGATTACGTAAGAGAGCGTCTACGATTTACAGCCAAAAGCTCTATATACATATGACGACTTACTGGATTTACAGGATACTTTCGGTTGGTTCGCTTCTTCACCTCCCATAAAAAAATTTGTCAGTCAATATCTGTTTCTTTCTACATCATTGCTATCAAGAATTTCTACATTGGTTTCGTTGTAGAGACTTGACTTCGAGAACCGAGTTGGCCCTATACCTGGCGCTGTTTTGAGGGTTCACCAATAATGCCTTTATTAATACGGCGCATTGCAACGTTCATTACTTCTGAATTTCTTTCATTTCTCTCAGCTACTGTTCATTACATTCCTTATCATTGCTAAATGGTTGTTCTGACTTGTTCTTTTCTTTCAACTTTCTTTCCCATGTTTTTGAGCCGTGAGTAAACCCTTAGTCAGCTCTCCATCAAAAGTGCGAGCTCGATATTTACAGTGTCTTTCCTGATTGTCATGGTGGTATTTTTTCTTAACATTATCAGACATTTAATAAGTCTTAAATGTAAAGCTTGCTCGTGCGCTCGTTCCGTACTCTCGCTGAAAGAGTTCCCACCTATATTCTATTAGAAAGCCGGCCCCTGGGCGTAATATATAAGATACAGATATTTTTCGAGGTCGCCCATGAAGCAGCCTCTGTTTAATTGTGTATAAAATAGCCAGTCCTGTCTTATTGAGTACCAAAAACACCGTCATGTCCTTAGTACTATTTCGCCAGGGGAACATGATGACTTCTTGACGCTTCTTCTGCTATTATATAATAGAGATAAAAGGAAACAAGCACTGTTAAAGCAATCAATTCGAGCTTGATTGTGAAAACGAACCACTGATGTTTCGCATAAGTTAAGAATAGCAAGTTTCTCAAGTAGAATGGTTGAATTAACTTTTTTTGACAAGAAATGAGGTGTTACTCCGACAACAAACGTAAAAATGAAACATTCACTTCAAGATAAAATTCCGCCCTTTGACGGCATTAAGTCATGAAAGCAAAAATTCATCACAAATTTGGCAACTCAGAGCAAAGTTGCGTTTCAATACGTCCCTGACACAAAAGAACGTGAAAAGGCTCTGCAGACATAAAGTATTCCTGCTGCCTTGCTTTCGAAAGCCACTAAAAATTTTCTTGGTTTTTCTTTTTTGGATGTTTAATTTTTTTTTTTTTTTTTTTGTTAGATCGATGTTAATGAAAATGTAACAGCTCAACAGCTTTCATCAAAAAATGTATGCTACTGAGTTAAACATGTCGCGGTCGCACAAATAATAGGTGACTCCTCAAAAAGCCCAAATTCCTATTTTTTACTAATTGGCTAATATATTCGTGTGTTTCAGTGTTCGCATTACTTTTCAGCTCGCCGCTTTGTACTGTTTTTCTTCTCTATCACCAGCATAAACTTCGCTAAGATTTTGGTGGCACACGACCCGGGAGACGTTTTTCTCCACAAAATAGTGGTGTCCTCTTTTAAAAATATATACGCTTATTGCCCGGTTTTTACTATTCAAATGCCGCGGGCTAGCACAATAATCTCAGTAGGTGCCCGAACGCTAAACATCGCTGATTCGATTATTCATGTTACCTTGACCTTTTCTCAAGTTTTGGTGCTCAAGCGCCGACCTACTAAGGTCTACCAAGAGAATATCGATCAAGTGTGAAGTCGCCCATTAATGGTAAATGCAATATCGTACTGTTTATGCTCTTATGTAAATGTTGTGGTTTAAAATGAAATTGCGACAAACTAATTTCATACTTGAATTTTGACTGATTAATTTGCGTTTTTATTTGTCTTAAATTGTGTTAACAAATTTGGAACAAAGGTACAAATGGTCCATCTGAGGGGTTGCATTGTGATCACGTCTCTCGCACGAGTTTGATCAAAATTCACGCATGGCACGCTTTTAGTTGCCATATCTTTTGGTTGCTTTTCACGAGTCACACATTAATTTTTGCCCTCATCGATCTCACACATCAACCCTTGCCACCCTTCCGCCAGTGTGAAAACGTCAGTAAAAAAAATCACCACTGTTTATACAATTGAATGATCCGTCGTCAATCATTTGATTTTTCATCATCATCACCAGAAATGTCGAATCGGCACGATCTTAAACCGTTATAGCAAACTTCAATCTGTATTTCTAATAACTCAATCGTAGTTTCCACATCAAAGTGATAAAAGGAAGGCTGTTAAGAGCAAATGTGTCCAAAAATCAAACATTTTCAAAATATCGCGGCAACAGCCAAAAAATAAATTCTGCTCACATTCTCAGGTTTGGTAGGCCTTAGTGTGAAACAAATCACGGCATGTTTCGTTTGGCTGAATATCGATTTATTTACGAGAAAATCGATAATAACCGAATTCCGTCAAAATGCCGCTT